AACGGACGCTAACAGGTGAGCAGGAGCGTTGAACGATCGGAACCGACGCCGCTTGAATCGATGATGCCTCGCTTGCCGCAGTCAACCGAAAACGCCGGATCACTTGCGGCAAGCACAGCAAGTGGATTCTCTGTTCAATAAAGACATAATTTCATTTGTCGCTATACGATTCCGTTGAATGTTTTCTGGCCGCAAAGTAAATGCAGTCGGCCGCGCGAAAGCGGTCGCGGACAAGCCCCCTCGAATGCCCCCCCTCGCATCGCCGCCCCTACTCGTAATAGGTGCGGTGCCGGTGCTTCGAGGCGCGTTTCGGAGTGCTTTAGTGCGCACAGAACGCAGCGAACGGGCGTACACACTTGAGAATCGTATTTTAGCAAAAAGCACTCCAGCTCGCTAGGCCTTACTCGTATTGCTTCAATGTCGCTTGCCAGCCGCCTTGTGGCTTTTAGGGGTGCTCACTGTGACTACCTGTTGATTGCATGCCGTGTGACTACCCATGGGGTAGTTAGTATTACTAAGGGGGTAGCGATATCTGTGACGGCTTCTGACTACCCCAAATGTAGTATCCTACGACTACCCTTTTGTTCAGAGTGTAGGCGCTCCTGCGATCTGAGCGCATGCTCAGTATTTTACAATAGTTGAAATTGAAATCTGCAGGAATCTTGATACATAACAAACAGAATCTGCATGCCAAAAGGCATAGCAAATGAAACACCCACCATCCACCTATTTTTGTTTCTTGTCCGCAAGAAACTGTCGTATATGTGGCCTCCCTTACCTAAGCCGCTCCTCCCTAGTGTCCCGGTTCGGTCTCGTCCTGATGAATCGTCGGTGGAGACTTGAGGTATGGTCAGCATCAGATTAGGCCTTCCTGAGACAGAACCATATACTTGCCGAGAGGAAGTACACCCAAACGAATCTCAGGCATGTTGTTTACCGTGCGTTGTAAATTGAGGCGCCTGATGTAAAATGAGAGGTCAATACTGACGCACCCCTTTTGCGAACCTAAAATTTTGAAGGCCTCGTGCCCTTCGCTAAGGGGACAAGGCACATGAATCCAGGCATGTGGATGAAATTTTTACCGTAACATCCCGACTCAATGCCCATCCCTGAATATTCTACCACAACACTTTTAGAAAAAAATATTTTTTTTTTTTTAGAAAACGCCGAGTCATCGACCACCCCTAAAAAACCCTGAACCCGGCATACTCGTACAGTGGCTTGTTTGATCTGTGCTGCCCCTGAGTTAACTCGGGCTGACAATGTTTTTCTTCAAATGGAACCCACGTTTTTAGTTTCGATTTCACTTGCTGAGGCAGGTGGATACTTTTGTAAAGCTTTGTCCCTATGCGCTTCCGAGTCAACATTTTTGTAAAGGCCGACCCCCGGGCTTTGATTTTGCGCTCCTTGACAGGTGCTGAAACTCATATAGGCGGGCAATAGCTCGCTTTGAAAATACTTGCTTTTGGTGGCCGAGAACACACTCGTCCGCCAGATTGGCAGCCACTTGCTGCCGAGAATTGCTGCACATATCCGAAAGAACCTAATCTTAGACTAATACAGATGCTTTGGTTGGACAGAGACACAAAAGCCTGACACAAGCAAGACCACTATAAAGGCAGGAAATATGTGTCTTTGAGGAATGAAACGCACAACTTAGATAGGCATCAACCACTCACCTTGAAAACACTTGCCATGAGCTGCAAAGAACAAACTTCTGGCCTTCATTGGCTGGTGCTTGCCACCAAGACCTGCATGTATAAGAAAGAACCCGGGCTTAGTCAAACTTGGGTGTTTTTGCAGAAGAGAGACAACAAAATACTAATGCAAGACCACTACACATAGGTTATGGCATTCAAGAGGAATGAAATACAAAACTCATATAGGCGGGCAATAGCTCACCTTGAAAATAATTGCTCTCGGTGGCCGAGAACAAACTCGTGTTCCTGATTGACAGCCATTTGCTGCGAAGAATATCTGCACATATCCTAAAGAACCTAGTCTTAGTCTAACACAGATGCTTTGGCCGAACAGAGACACAAAAGTCTGATACAAACCACAAAAAGAAGGAAATAGTGTCTGCGAGAGATGAAAATAGACCCAGGCTGAGAGGCTCGCTCTGTTTCACCTTGGTCAAATAGCTCGTTTTGCTAAAACAATGCATATTTGCTAAAAAAAAGTATAATATACATTTCGCCCCATTTAGCAGTTTACTGCCAAGGGTACCCGCACGCCGGAATTAGTCAGACTTAATCACAGTCTTTTTTTTTCTTTTGATGAGCGACAACAGAATCCTAAACGGGTGATGAAACAAAATATAAGCCTACAAATTCAGGCTAGTTTGCCTTGATGCAAGCACAGTGCCTCGGCCGACAAATGAGGTTTTATTTTTAGTCACTTGTGATATTTGGTGGGGATAGTTAAATAAAAGAAAATAAGGCAGTCTTTCTTGCAGCCGAGAGCTGCAAACAAAATGCATATACCTCGATAAACGACCTGGGAATAAAATTGGGTGTTGGCTGAGTGGTTTAAGGTGTCAAATTTCAAACTTAGACTTTAGTTTTGGCTTAAGTCCTTCTGGTGTATCTTTTTATCCTTATACTTATATTTAAATAGTTTTTTTTCTATTTTTGAGGCACAAGCGCTTAATTCATACACTAATTCACGTTTAGAAGCGTTTCAGCTACACTCCGGGGCTGCCTATACTCCGAGACAACTTTTCTTGGCAATGCAGCGAAAGGTACAGGCCTGCGTCCCCTCTCCCATTTTGGGTGTGCGCGGGCTCTCCTCCTCTCCCCGGAAATGGGGGAGGATGAGGGCCTACGTACACTCAAAATAGGAGAGGGGACGCGGGCCTGTACCTTCCACTGCATTTCCAAGAAAAGTTGTCGCGGAGTATAGTGCTCGTAATAAATTCTCGATAAGAGCGGTTGTTAATTTGTTTTTCTTCCTCTCGCTGCTGCTTGCTTTCTCACCTTTAAAAAGCTGACAACTCGACACAAAAGTAATAAAAATTGTGTTTCAAATGTGATGAAGATCAGCATTTCCAAGTTGTACCCCTGCTTCATGCCCCGACCATGCCACCATACCATAGCTGAGTGCAGTGACGAATTGTCCCAGGTCTGTGACCCGACCTTATATGACCTGACGGTGTGGTGTGACTCATGCAGCACCTATGCTTCGTGATGGAGCCAGTGAGCAAGGTGCGACATGCTAGATCTGTGCAAGTCACAGCTTTACCGTCAGCAAAGCGTGGGAAGATGCCTCTCCCATTGCAGAGCTCGCATTAGCTCCCCGAGAAGCTATTGCAAGCACTAGAAAGACACAAAGTGTGAATAAAAGCGCTTTTGAAAGTGAATTAGTGTGAAAATTATGCGTCTATACGTTAAAAATTTAAAAAAAGTATATATATATAAGGACTAAAAAAGGAAAAAAACATTCCAGGTGGGATTGAACCCAGAGCTCGACGGCCCTTGAATTCAGTTCCCTAAGGCCCGCTTCAGACGCGAAGATTTCGCACAGCAACTTCACGTCGCACCACCAGCAACACGTGCCGCCCGTGTTCACACGCAGCAACCGAATTGCTACTACCTGCCATCATCATCACGATTTTTAGAGCGCAGCTCTTAGCTGCCCGTTTCCGGCTTGAGCGGCGTCGGCGTCGGCGTCGACATAACCGCGCGGTGCATTATGTCAAATGTCCCATAATGCACCGCGCGACCCCCCCCTGAGGTCACGTGACCTCGCGGGGGGAAGGGGTCACGTGACCTCGAAAGGGAAGGAGGGGGCTTGCCCGGTGCATTATGGGACATTTCCCATAATGCACCGCGCGATCCCCCCCCCTCCGAGGTCACGTGACCCGCCCCTTCCCCCCCGAAGTCACGTGACCCCCCCGGAGGACATTGAAGAATGAGGGGAAGAAGAGGAGAAGGATGAGGAGGAGGGGTATACCTTCCCCTGAGTAACCTTCCCTCCTCCTCCTCAAGAGCTGTGCTCTAATTCGGCGTTACAGGGAGTTGTAAACGGCTTTCACTTTTTTTGCAGTATTTAGACGCACAGTTATATCTTAAAAACATATTTTTATATCTTTAAATTGCGCTGAAATACTAACTCATCTTTTTGATACAGTTTATTTCCAAAAACGATCCATTTTAAACCAGAACAAAGTCTTCAGTTATCATCACCACCACAGGGGCGTCACGTGAAAATATCGCATTCCTGATTGGCTGCTGCCGCTTCAAACATCTCCGAGTAGTCAGAGTTGCTCGTCCGCTTCAAGCCGGACCCAATCTGTCGTGCTACAACAGAAAAAAAATGGAGTAGAAGAGGAAAACGTCGAGGGAGCAGGCCGGAGGAGAAGGGAGTGAAAAGGAGGAAGAAGAGGGGTTCTTGTGCGGCGGTAACCCGACCAGGTGGAAGCATACCCGGCAACGTCCCGAGGGTGCTACTGTCGGGTGAAACATCAGCTTGGCGGTGTGCAACCAAAGCGGCAACATCCGGCATGAACGAAGCATTCGGCAGCGATCCGAAGTAGCCGCTGGTGGGAAAGATTATCGACTTCGGCGGTGTCCCGGAGCAGAACATCCCAGACCAGCCTCAAGGAACACCCAAGGAACATCACGAGGAACGACTTCAGCGGTGTCCCGGAGCAGAGCATCCCAGACCATCCACAAGGAACAACACGCACCAACAACCAAGCGCTGCTGAAAACAAGGCAGCACCAAGACCTTCAGCCACACAAGGACGGACTGAAAGTGAGACAATTTCTGACCTGTATATTTGTGTATAGCTAGAACGTTTATTTTTTGTTAATTTTTTATATATATATATATATCTTGATCAAACCTCACGGTGTGACTGAATTCCTCCTTCGGCGGTTTGACCAGAACCTATAACATCACAATTTGGCGAGCCTGCCAGGATACAAACCGCAGAGTGAGGAAAACCAGTTGTACCGGTGAACGGTTCCCAACAAGTTTGAAATGGATTTTGAAAAGATAATGGCTTTGGGAAGCTCCCTCGGACTAACAAAAGAGGAAGCGTTGCATCTTCTGGAGGAGGAAAGGAAGCGTGAGAGAGAGGAGAGAGTGCACGCTAGAGAAGATTCCAAACTCGAACATGAGAGGGAACAGCAGAAGGCTGAGAGGGAGAGGGAGGACGCCAGACTGAAAGCTGCACATGAGATCGCTATGATAGAGCTTAAGATCAAGCTCGCGGAAACAGAACGCGCCAGTGGAGCGACAACAGACGGAGGGAGCGAAGGTCAGTCAAGAGGACGAGCGTGCTTGAAGAAATTGATGCCGCCCTTTGACGAGAAACGCGATGACTTAGATGCCTACCTGCATAGATTTGAGAGGATTGCGGTAGGACAAGGAAGGGCGAAGGAGGAGTGGGCGACGTCCCTTAGTCTTTGCCTGGTGGGTGAAGCTTTAACCGCATTCGGGAGGATGACAGCAGCTGACTCCCTAGACTATGAGAAGGTTAAGATCACCTTGCTCCAACGATTCAGACTAACTGCAGACGGTTTTAGAGAAAAGTTCAGACGAAGCAAGCCGGAGGAGGCAGAAACTGGACGACAATTCTGTACCAGATTGAGTAATTATTTTGATAGGTGGCTCGAAATGGCGCAGACAGAGAAGACGTTCGAGGCAGTGAGGGACAGGGTGATTTCCGAACAGTTCCTTAGTTGCTGTCACCCTAAGCTGGCCATTTTTCTAAAAGAACGTAACGTGGACGCAGCGCAAGAAATGGCAGAGCTAGCTGACCAGTACCTGGAAGCCCAGGGAAAATGCAATCTGGGTGCTATGAAAGATGGGGGTTGTACAACACTGAGACCAGACGGCGAGAACAGTAAGGCTACTGGACAAACGGGAGGAACCCGAAGACCATCGCCTAGATGCTTTCTGTGCAGTAAGGTTGGGCATAAGGCAACTGACTGCAGAAGCGGATATAGACAAAATCAGGCAGGAGTACGATGCTGGGAGTGCGGCAAAATGGGACACAAAGCTGGGCAGTGCGCCAATCACTCACAAAACAAAGCAGCGTGTGTCCTGGATAAAAGACAGAAGGCATTAAAGAGGGGCAACAAAGAACAGCAGGGAGCGATAACAAATACAAGATTTGAACATGTTACTGACGCTGACTTAGTACACAATATCGACATAATGATGCCGGTGGTCGAAGCGAGGTTACATGATATTAAGATATCAGTGCTGAGGGATAGTGGAACCAACACAGTACTAGTAAGAAAAAGGCTGGTACGAAGTGAGGAGTTCACAGGGACGTCCACTGGGGTTATCCCGGTTGACGGCACCATGAGGGTTATGCCTGAAGCGATAATCAACATAGATACACCTTATTACACGGGGGAAGGACGTGCCAAATGCGTAGAAGAACCGCTGTATGACCTCATACTGGGTAACATCCCAGGGGCTAGAAAAGTGGACTGCCCGGATTTAGGGTGGGGCACAAGTACGAAGAAAATGCGTCACCAGGGAGATGAAGTGTTTGGCGAAACGCCGTCTAATTCATTGAACAGCGTTACCTCACATGCTGAGAACGACCGACTACTGCAAGAAATCGGGGAAAAGGAGGCGTTGAATGCAGAGCAGATTCATAACGAGGTGTCATTTGCAGCAGGAGCAAAAAGAACGGACAAAAGTGAAGAGAAACAATTGCCCCAGCTCAAGGCGCTGGTTATAGAGCTGCTAGAAGTCACAGCTCTTACATTAACGGGGCAGCAAAAGTCGGATGAGAGTCTGCAGAGGTTTTTTAGAAGTCTGAATAAACGAGTGCGGAAATGGAGATGTGACGTAACAACGGAATACGTCGTCAAGGATGATTTGTTGTTCTGTCGAGTCGAATTGAGCGACGGGGACGTGGGGCACCAACTCATTGTACCAACGGTATTTAGAAAGACTGTAATGGAATTGGCTCACGATGGAATAATGTCGGGCCATCAGGGGGTAAAGAGTACGGTCGCTAGGGTAGCGGAAGAATTCTTTTGGCCTGGTATGCAAGGCGACGTGAAACGTTACATACGGTCTTGTGATGTGTGCCAACGCACTATACCGAAAGGCACCGTGAAAAAAGCCCCAATGATAAGTATGCCCATAATTGAAGAACCCTTCCATCGGGTAGCGATAGATATCATTGGACCAATAACCCCCAAGTCCAGCAAGGGAAACCGATATATCTTGACAATGGTTGATGTAGCCACGAGGTACCCGGACGCTGTGGCATTGAAAACCATTGATACCCCGCAGGTGGCAGAAGCCCTAGTCGAGATGTTCTCCCGGTACGGAGTACCTAAGGAGATTCTGAGTGATCGAGGTACGAACTTCACTTCCAATTTTATGAAAGAAATAGGACGGCTGTTATCCTTTCGGCAGTTGTTAACTACGCCATATCACCCAATGTGTAATGGGCTCGTAGAAAAATTTAATGGTACCATCAAGCAAATGATGAAGAGAATGAGCCAAGAACGACCCACGGACTGGGATAGGTATATCCCGGCACTCCTCTTTGCCTATAGAGGAGTACCACAAGCGTCGCTAAGATTCGCACCATTTGAGATGTTGTACGGACGAAATGTGAGAGGTCCTTTGACCATCCTTAAGGAGCTGGGGTCCAATAAAAGCTTAAACCAGGAGTTAAAGACATCATACGGATAGGTGATCGAACTCAAGGACAAACTGAAGAAAACATGTGAAGTGGCGCATGAGATCATGGCAGAGGCGCAAACAAAACAGAAAAGGTTCTACGACCGGAAGAGCCAGGCTCGAAGGTTCGAGCCAGGCGACAGAGTGCTCATACCGCTACCCAGTGACCACAACAAACTAACCATGCAGTGGAAGGGACCGTACGAAGTTGCGAGGCGAAAAGGCAATTTAAACTACGAACTTCTGGTTGGCGACAAAAGAAAAACGTTTCACATAAACATGTTACAAAAATATGTAGATCGCGAAACTAAGAATGAAAGTTGTGGGGTGATGGTGGTCCAGGATGAGGTTGAAGACTTAGGGGAGATCACGACGCCCAGTCTAAAAAGGCAACAGGCTGCGCAGGATGTGGTCATCAATCCTAAATTAAGCCAAAAGCAAAAGAAAGATCTGGCTGACGCGATCAGGGAGTTTGAAGATATATTCTCTGACGTACCGGGCAGAACAAATGCATTGCAATGCAAACTTCGATTGATGACAGAAGAGCCGGTGTTTGTAAGGCAGTATCCGTTGCCTTTTGCCATCCAGGACGAGGTGGAAGAAGAAGTGGAAGAGATGCTAAGATTAGGCATCATCGAACGATCCACGTCCGCCTACAACGCACCCATAATAATGGTAAAAAAGCCTGATGGCTCTAATAGGCTTTGTGTTGACTTTCGGCGATTGAACGCATTCTTGGTAGCTGACGCTGAACCTATACCAAGGTCGGACGTAGTGTTTGGAAGAGTCGGGCAAAAAAAATGTTTTTCTAAATTGGATCTAGCAAAGGGGTATTGGCAGATACCGATGGAAGAATCAGCCAAAGAAAAGACTGCCTTCTCTACAAGAACGGGCCTTTACCAATTCCGGTTTATGCTTTTCGGACTGAAGACGGCTGCTGCAGTGTTTACCAAGTTGATGAGGTCCGTCCTGGAGGGGGTGCCCAATGTACATCATTAGATTGACGACATTTTGGTGGCCACTGACTCGTGGGAAGACCACTGCCAAACATTACGGCAAATTTTTGAATGTCTCCCCTATTGGAAAAACGTACAAGAAACAAACCTGCCGCTTTTACAATTCTGGTATGACACCATCATAATTTCTTGGTATTATGTATGCAGCTAGTTTGGTATGGCGTTCTGCATAACTGGAGATACCGGCACCGCTATGGCTCCGGGTCTGTTTATACTGGCAGCCAGTTTGCTTGCTGATATGATTCCGTGAGGCTGGTATGATTTTGCGTCCGATGACGTAGGCGACCGCCTTCTTTCCAACAAAACGCTTACACCACAGGACCACCGGTATAACTAAATCATACATGCAGAAAGACGACCGCCATCTTCCACCAAAAACGTCCATCGTTCACCACCGGTATCGTACATACACCATGTATGTCGAAAAAGAACATAAGCCGCGTTTACATGAATGCGACTTGTCGCATTGAATCCAGTTGCCGCATTCAATATATGATCATGTAAACGGCATAATGCGCAAAGCGCATCGCATTTTGGAACGGGAAGGATAATCGCAAGGCGCTCGCTGCAGGAGCGAGTGAACAGCTGAGAACATGGCGGCGGCCAACCTCGTCAGCGGCGCGGAGAGCGGTCCCGCAATTTTGTTTCCCGAGAACAAACGCAAGCTTTTGTTGCGATCATAAGTAAGCGGAATATAGCGGAGCTGCTCGGTGAGGGCGGCCCCGTCCAAACCTTTGCGAAGTACGACTTGCGCGTCCGAAGGGGTCACAATGGCTTCAGTGCAAGCACGAATGACACCGAGAGCTCCGAGCACTGTAGAGCACTGCATGGTAGCGCAGAACGAGCAGCTCCTACTTCGGTGCCGTTCCTGGCTGCGCAAGAGCTTCTCGGCATCGGGGTCCGGTTGGTCCGGTCGCGATCGGTGAGGTCTGGCGCGGCGAAACGTGGAGGCTTCCTCAAAGCGTGCGCACACACGTCGCCTCTCGTTCAGAGTGAACCGGCGGCCCGGCCTGGAGTCCTAAACGCCTTGGTTTTGATGCTTCTTCCGTCTCGCAACTTCTTCCACAGCACCGAAGACAGCGGACACGATCTTTACTTTCACTGAATGCGTCGAAAGGACTCCACGTGCGATGCACCGGAAAACGTGGTGCGGCTGGTGCCGGAACGGAACTGCGGAACTTCGAGCTTTGAGTTAACGTGCACGGCAAGAAACCGATCGTAACACCAAGCCGCGGATACCGCATCGCCGGTCGACAGCGGCAAACGGCCCGTTGCTCGTACTCGGCAAACTCGGCGTCTTTTCGTGGCCCCTCGCGTCCTCGCAACCAGCCACAAACTCACCAGCCCGCAACCGTAGCGACCGTAGCCGGCGTTGGAGAAAACCGAAACCGAAACTTAAGGCTTCCGCCCAGTGGCTTCGGTGCTTCCGCTGCCGCCGCTTTTCTAAGTTCACGGCTTCCACTTCCGGTCGTCGCGGAGATGGCGAACAATGGCGAAGATAGCGCGATGTGGTTCGTTGGCTCGTTTACGGTTACGGGACAGATGTTTTGCGGTCCGTTTCTACTGCGTCTCTGGTTCTAAACTCGACGGCGCCTCTCATAGTTCAACCAGGTGTGGTCGGCCTGGGTCAGCGCGGTCGGCTCGCCTTGTCCGATCTCCGGACCGCCGGCGACTTCCGAGTTCTTTAGGCCTGGGATCCGAAGGCGTCTGCCTCCGTGAAACGGTAAGCGAATCTCGTCCCGTTTTCGTTCTACTTTTAAATTACGTTTAGTGCGCTACTTTGTAAGCATGCGTGCCAAGTGTTCGTGACAATTTTGAACTAGAATAATTGTGCTTCATTGCGGTTTGTCATTTACCGCAAATGTAAATCGAGCAATGAACGAGGAGTAAATCGAGCAATGAACGAGGAGCCATGCTTGAAAACGATGTATGTACGATGTTAACTTCTACCTGTGCGGCTTTAAAGAAAGTCAAGACTGGTTACGGTTGGATGCGAGGCTGGTCCCAATGCAATGTTAAGCACTTAGAGCGCCTTTCTGAACGGCATGTAAGCAATATAGCGATCAACGAGACGAGCGACGGCGAGAAGCTACGAGTGCCGGCGCCGAGCGACGAAGATTTTTCACTCCCGCTGCTTGCGCCGCTCGATTCTTGGGCTTCTAGAAAACGTCGCTCATCGCCTTGGTCGCTCGCACCAATCGCTTTCATAATGTGTGTGTCGTCGCGCGGCCGTGTTTATTCGAATATAAATCGACCTTTTTTTTTTTTTTCGGAAATTGTGACTAAAGAATTTCGACACCTGTATTCGCGACCAAATTTTGCGACCCTACCGGAGGCATGAAGCTATCGAGTCACCGAGCCGGCGTTGCCGTAGAGCCGCGCCGCTTCTTGTTTCAAAAAGCTTTTGGTAACCGAAATGGCTCGCCGCCCGCGGTGGCCCGTGCCGCTCCTCGGGCGTCGGATTTCGACATCGCGCCTCTAGCGTTCCCCTTGCTGGGCAACGGGGAAGGAGAGGAACGCGATGCGCCACGCACTTTACCCTCCATCCTTGCAAACGCGCACACAAAAAAAAAAAAAAAGAAAGTTACTTTTGTTAGTTGCTTGAGGCGGCTCGGCTCGCGTGTTGCTCATGGCGACACGGCGGCTTTGCTTGCGTCTTTGTAGTTTGTCTTCCGCCGCTTCGCACCTTCTTTCGTTTCCTGTCGTCATTTTACAACGGTGTCAGTGAAGTATTGCTGCGAATACGCGAGGATGTCTACCCAGCTGAAGAAGCTTCGGACGACGATGACATGTCCAGAAGTTCTGAAGGTGATTAAGTTTTTGGCATCGCCCCGTGATTTAGCTGAGAGTGATGTAAATAAAGGTTTGTTTCTTTCTTTTGCCCAAAATTTCCCCTGTTCTTAAAAATAAAAAAAGTCGACCTATATTTGAATTACTTTTTTTTTTTATTCTCTATGGACCCAGTAAATAGGGTTCGACCTATTTTCGAGTAAATACGGTAACTTTAATTTTTATTTTGGTTTACGTCGGACGCAACTCGAATGCTTGGCAGTTACGTTGGGCGTAACTTTAATTTTTATTTCGGGTTCCGTCGGACGTAACGTTAGACACTCCGTTACACTTAAGGAAAATAGGGGCTGCTGGTTCATCATATAAACCAACCATTTGTGTTTAATTAAAATGCATCACTGACCTCAAAAAAAAAAAAGATACTGCTATCCTAGAGTTTATGCTATAGGAATGTAGCGCTTCAGATAAATTTGTTAATTTTTACTTTTAGTCCCTGCCCCCCTCCAGATACCACATCTGGCCTAAAGCAGTGTTCCGGATCTCCTTCGAAGACCTCAGGCGGGTCGTCATTCAATCCATGAGTCGGCGGCGTCTCATGGGCGTGTTGCTGTTGCTTACTGGATGGTGCTACCGAGGGAAAAGTGGTCATGCTTGCGAAAGGCAAGTATGGCCGCCGTAAGTATACATATTGTCTTTACCTTTGCTGGAATCCACTTTTAAGAAATGCACAGTTCGCATGTGTGCATCTCTCAATGTTTCCACAGTCGGCTGTGTTTTTTTTTTTTTTTGAGTGCTCCAACTCTGCTAGTGCTAGTTTCTCTAGATCATGCAAATGGGATGCAACACTAAACCACATATGCTCTCGCAACAAACAGTGCTGTGCAGAAGCACAGTGGAATTTACTCTAGCTTTATAATGCAGCACAAAATAGTTGACTCCAAGTATAGCTACTTTTGTGACTCCGTTTAACCAAAAGCTCTGCCGAAACAAACTTGCCGCCTTATAGGTACTGTAAAAGAACCTCGCGTGCCTAACCTGGAGAAGGGCATTTTTTTTATAGGTCAATTTTTTCTTAAACCAATACCTTCAGCCTCCTTGAAATGTTAACATCATGTGACACAGGGAAGAACAGTAAACTCTTTAATGTTGGCGAACCTTTAATTTTCGCGGCCTTTAATTTTGCAGAATTCAGTGGCTGCGATTATGTGCTCTGTGACCGATTCGAGAAGAAATAGGGGCCACGAAGATAAGGGGGTTTTACTGTACATCGGAGGAAAGAGGAAGTCACTTTTGTTTGTATGCAAGAGTAAAACCAACAACAACAATCATGGTGTCGACACTTTGTGAGCCTATCTGTGTCTATTGAATGATATCAATTTTGTTTTAGTTCGTTAAACATTGTTGCCTGTACACTGTGGGATGTCGTCTTCAACACGAGCAGTAGTTTTCCCTGAAGTAGGCAGCATGGACGCGTGCCGCAGCGCAACATAGTTCATTTGCAGGTGGTACCGCAGGTTGAAGGATGGTTGGCACAATATGGGGGAATCACAATTCAATGTTCTACCTCGGGCGTAGACAAGATTTGCTCATTCTAAATCATTTTGTCTAAAAATCGGGGATTTGCGATGAATGTACCCGCATGGTTGGAAGGGCCAGACAAGCCTTGTGAGCGCTTCGTTTTCTAGCGTCTCAGTCCTGAACCCACTCACGCACCACATGTGTAGATGTTCCAATACATGGGACCA